GACAAAATGAATGCTAGCTGCTGGATAATATGCAATGAATCAAGTGAAATATATTGGAAAACACCGCTCTCCCTTTCACAATTATGACGGTGTATGGCCTCCCTGGCAATGTTTGCCACCATGCAGGCCCGCGCAACCTCTCGTCGACCCTGATTCGGACAACGCATACAGTATATGTGCTGCACATATCTACAAAGCGCAAAAATATTAAAGCTATAAACTTACACATCGGTTCCCAAGACATTTTTTTGGAGCATAAAATTTCCTGGAATATAACCTATCCACCTATAAAAGTACAAGGTATATAATTTTAAATTTCGTATTGAAGGCTCGTTCGCTCTTTGATATATTGTTCTACAAGCATTACAACTATGATTCTTTTGAAACAATCACATCATGTTCGTATGACCGGTTAGGCCAAGGGTTTTCGAGATCACAAAGGTCGCCACAAACCTACATGAGCATCTTTCATGATTGGTCGACTAAAACAATGAAATACAATGAAACTAAATAATACATTTTCTAGAGAACCAGTCACAAACACTGATGACTTTTGCTTAAGCAAGCCAATCACAAAACATGCTCATTATTGCTTCGTGTTTACGCTGTGCATACATTGATTCAACTGTTTTTTAAAACTAAAAATTTTAATTAGTCGCTGCGAACAGGTCATTTAAAATTTAAAATATATTAGTTCGTAAAAAGTTCGCAGAACAAGAACTTCAATTAAAGTTCACACTTATCTTGCGATGATGAGAGAAAGTAATTAAAATTTCTATTCTTACCCATATTTGTCCTTTGCAAGATACCAACCATCCCCTGCATGCGCAAGAATTGTAAATTCATCGCCCTGGTAAACAAGGATAATAAAAAGCAAACCCTGAATAACGTTAAATATTATTTGGAAAAATATACCAATAAACAAAAATTTTATCCGAAATTTTCTAATTTGGTAATAATAATAATAATTTAATTTGTAGTGCCCAAGTTCCATTCAAATATGCTCACATACGCATAACAATAATATAAAAACAAAATCTAATTATATTTATATGAAATATAAAAGATAGTTAGCCTAAGACGATCCAGACTATTCATTCAAAATCAGTATAGACTAAATATTCTATTAGTTTCGTAAAAGATATATTATTATTGATAAAATCACACTATTTTGTTATTAAATAATACAATAAGCTTTCCTAAATAAGTGTGTCTTTAAGAGCTTCTTGAAACTTCCAATGGAATCAGCTTGCTTAATGCGTGAAAGTAAATCATTCCAGAAGTTTGGCGCTGCACATCCAAACGAACGATCACCAAGGGTCGGTAATGTTTTGATCTAGTCTTCTGGAGCAAGAATTTCGAATTCGATCTCATGCTATAAGACGAAGGAGGTTTGATAGTTATAAGTTCAGAGATATAGTCAGGTGCCAATCCATGAAGTGCTTTAAAAACATGCAATTAGTAGAATTTTGAAATATATTCTAAACTTTGCTGGAAGCCAGTGTGAACCCTTCAGAGTTGGCGTTATATGATCAAACCGTGAGACGTTACATATATTAAATTAATCTCGTTGAAGTTTGTTAAGCTGATATGTTTTTGTAACTAGTTGCTCCTGTGTAAATAGTTGCTCCTATAAAGCCGATTTTCTTAAAAAAAAAATCGTAAATTGGCTTTATGGAATGCGTATCAGTTTTATAGTAGATTTTTCTTATTACTTTTAATATAAGTTCTTTGTATGTTTGCATGGCGATAAAATATATAATAGTTTTGTTTGTGGAAACACCACGTAAATTTATTACTGCAAAACTTTCGATCCGTAAGCCCGGATCTTCATCAGTGCTAATAATATGTATATTTAAGAAATTCATTAATAATTCACGAGGAAAATACAAAAGAAATGAATGTTTAATCAATGTTTGTAAATCGGATAAACATTTGTCCTGATTTACATAAACTTCAGCTTTGATTTTCTCGGCTTAGCACTGATGAAGATTCGGGCTTACGGATCGAAAACGTACTTTGCAGTAATAAATTTACGTGGTATTTCCACAAACAAAACTATTATACTTTTAATATATTTTTAACGTCCACGGCTCTCGGGAAGAGCATTTCCAACTAATTATTAATGATGAGAATAATAATACCATCATACCATCATTGCTTTATCTTCTGTCACACGTTTGTGAATATGTGCTTGTGATAGTCTCTTCGTATAATAATAATAATAATAATAATAATAATAATAATAATAATAATAATAATAATAATAGTAATAATAGTAATAATAGTAATAATAGTAATAATAATAATAATAATAATGAAAACTTTATTAATAGAACATTTATAGATATATACATTCAATTGTAAATCTCACTTCTTGAGGTAACCTACAATTGACTACTTGAATCACTTATACGTGCATGGTTATAATTTTATATACAAAAATTTTACTTATTTACAGAAATAGTTACTTTAAATGTTCATTAGTTCAGGATTTGTCCATTCTTTATTTCTACAGCAAAATATGTAGTACGTTGATCGGATGGCAATAGATATAATTTTTCTGATACAATATTGTTGGTGTTGATTATCCAGTCCGAACTCATTTAGCATTTTTACGAATGTATGACATTCTTTGTCAACACCCCTAGCGAACTGACAGAAAGATTTATAAATTTGACAGATGTAAAGTTTTGATCCAGTTCTCTAATTAGGTTTTTATATTTAGCTTTCTTGCGGTTAACATTGTTTGTGAGGTTTGATTCAAAGCCTACGGTAAGTTCAACGACGTAGAGGTGTTTGTCTGAAGTGGAGACAAGTAAATCAGGACGATATTCATCTCCCGTAATAATCGAGGGGCTTTCAAATCCAGGAAGATCAACATGTAATTTGCATTCGTTTAAACTTTGAAAAGTTTTTGCAAGAAAGTTTAGTATGCAATCGTGTCTCCAAGTAAATCGTTCCAGGTAATGTTGACAACCGGCAACAACATGTAGAAGTGATTCAGGGTGTAAGCAGAACGAGCAGTCAGAACTTGATGAAATTCCCCATCTACTGAGGTTCTTTCGGGTAGGAAGGGTATTATTTATATAGCGAATTGTAAAGTTGAAAATGTTCTTTGGTAGCTTTGATTGCGATACCGACCAGATTGCGTTAAGTTTTGATAGGGAGAATTTAGAAACATTTTCGAAAAAGGAACCTTGACATTTCAAACGGTTCCTAAGTTTATTTTCTTGTTGAGAATGGAACGTTTTTAAAACTTCTTTAGTTGAGTTGTAGCTATCGTATTGAATGTTAGTATGATTATTAGTTGACTTCCACAGTTCGTTTATTGAATCGTTTGGAGATGTTTTTAGGGCATTGCGTAGAACTGTTTGACACTGAATGAATTTGACTGATGCAGGGAGGATATTTAGACCCAACTTATTACGGGTTAGAAAAACGTTACTTAGTGTTCCAGATATAGGTACTTCCAGCCATTTTTGGATGTACTTGTTCACCGAAGAATCGATATTTTCGACTACCCAAGTTTTAGATATCGTAGCAACAGTAAAATGCCAGGATAGTTTCGACAAAACATAACGACTGTAAAGTAAAATTTTGTTTTTTGGGTGAAGAGGTTTAAGATCTATTTCGGACATTAGTTCATCAATGAGGGAGATCAGTTTAGATTTATGTTTTTCATTAGTCATGTTAAAGTCGAAGTGTCGTCCCAAATACTCAAATGATTCTCCAGTCTTAATCGTTGGTATGAGATCCTTATTGATCAAAAGCTTCGGCAGGTACTGGGCAGATTTTGATAAAACTTTTTTGATGCCAAATGTGCTACATTTATCAACTCTAACAACCATGTTGGACCATTGACACCAGATAGAGAATCGATTAAGGAGATGTTGATTTTCCGACTCTTGGCCAGTAATAACCGCAGCATCATCGGCAAACTGAAACCAGTGGATTGGATTAAGAAGTTGGAGGGAGAAACCGAACTGACGGTACTTTTCGGCTTTAATATGCTGAATATATGTGTTGAAACACATATTAAATAGTAGAGGACTAAGACAGTCACCTTGCAATACACCACGGCCAACAGGTATAAAATGGGTACGGAACTCAGACGTAATTACGGAAGTTTTAAAATCAGTGTATAAGCTTTTTATTAAATTATTCATGTGATTAGGGATGTGATGATAGCCAAGGACGGATTGGATTAAGTTGTGATGAACTTCTCCAAAAGCGTTTTTGAGGTCAAGTAGTGTGATGACAAGTGAACGTTGTTTTATACGAGCTTTGTTTATTATATTAGCCATTTGCGCAGTATGTTCCATAGTACCAGACAGATTTGGGGTGAAGCCTTTTTGTATGTTATGTTCTATAAAGTTATTGGCGGTGAGAAAGGAGTACATTGCGTTACGTAGACATGATGTAAATACTTTAAGCGGTATAGATTCGAGTGTGATCGGTCGGAAATTTGATAATAATAATAATAATAATAATAATAATAATAATAATAATTATAATCATAATAATAATAATAATAAAAATAATAATAATAATAATAATAATAATAATAATAATAATAATAATAATAATAATAATAATAATAATAATAATAATAATAATAATGGAAACTTTATTACTTTCAATAATATATATACACACTACAATGATAAACCTCTCTTTACAGGTAGTTTACCGGTGTCTACTTGAATTAACACTCTACATAATAACAATATTAGTATGACATTAGTTGTGGGTTATCCCATTCTTTGTTACGCTTACAGAATATATAATACGAGGACCTGATACATATGTTAATAATTTTCCGAACATAGTACTTTCTACATTGTTCATCAAACTTTAGATCCTTCAGCATTTCGGTGAAATCTAGCGACGGGTGGCTGAAAACTCCTAATGAGCTAATCGATAAATTTACAAATTTCACTTTTTTATAATTTTTGAGCTGTTCGTTAATTAGATCTTGATATTTTTGTCTTTTTCGAGTTGCATTAGTGAGGAGATTAGATTCAAATCCGACGGTAAGTTCAAGTATATAAATACATTTGTTTTCAAGTGTTATTAAAAGATCAGGGCGCAATTCATCTCCGGTGATAACAGATGGACTGATATAGCCAGGAAGGTCGGCATAAAGGTTGCAATGGTTCACAGATTTAAGTATGGATGCTATGAAGTTAAGCACCGAATCATGACGCCACGTGAAACGTCCTTCATTTAGGTAGGTCTTGCATCCAGCGACGACGTGAAGAAGTGATTCTGGATTCAAACAAAACGAACATTCGGATGTTGGTGATATTCCCCATTTCAGAAGGTTTTTGCGAGTCGGAAGAGTGTTATTTATATACCGGATAGTGAAGTTAAATATATTCTTCGGAAGTTTACTCTGAACGGAGGACCATATAGAGTTGAATGAGAGTGTAGAATGTTTAATGATATTGGAGAAAAATGAGCCTTGTGAAATGAGGTGGTGTTGAAGCTTGTCTTCATGTTGTTTCTTGATGGTGTTTAATACGTCCTTGGTGTTTTTGTATTTGTCATATTGTACATTTTTGTGATTGCTAGTATCCTTCCAAAGGTTATTGATCGCTTCATTTGGCGACGACTTTAGGGCTTTCCGAGAAACAGTTTGGCATTGAAGGAATTTGTTTGAAGGTAGAATGATATTTAATCCAAATTTATTGTGGGGAAGTAGGACGTTACTAAGGGTTGCAGAAATAGGAAGTTCAAGCCATTTTCGGATATACGTGGACGCGTTACTATCTAGTTTATCGTTAACCCAGGTTTTGCCTATGTCAGAAACAGTGAAGTGCCAAGAGATTTTGGAAAGCACATAACGACTGTATAAGAGAATTTTGTTTTTCGGATGTAATGGTAGATCATCAATTTCATTCAGGATATTAGTGAGTGTGTCATATACTTCAGATTTATGATCTTCGTCGGACATGTTGAAATCAAAATAGCGACCTAAGTAGCGAAACGATTTACCAAGTTCAACACGTGGTACAAGACAGTTATTTATAAATAGTTTTGGGAGATATTGAATGGATTTGGTTACTTGTTTCCTAATGCCAAATGTTGAACATTTGTCTACACGTATTATCATTTGAGCCCACTGACACCAGATTGTAAAGCGATTGAGGAGCATTTGGTTTTCTTTTTCTTGGCCGCTAACAACAGCCGCGTCGTCGGCAAACTGGAACCAATGAAGAGGATTTAATGGGGTACCGTTTTCACTGGATTTCCAAAATCCAAGTTGACGGTATTTTTCCGATTTAATATGTTGGATAAAGGTATTGAAAGACATGTTGAATAAAAGAGGACTGAGACAATCGCCTTGAAGGACGCCACGACCGACTGTAATGAAGGAAGTATTGAACTGTTCAGTTATTATGGAAGTTTGGAAATCAGTATAAAGGCTACTGACAAGATTCTTTATGTGATCGGGAATGTGGTGATATTGAAGGACTTCATAAATAAGGTTATGGTGGACTTCGCCGAATGCATTTTTGAGATCTAATAGTGTTATGATAAGTGATCGTTGTTTTACTCGCGCTTTATTAATGATATGTGCCAACTGTGCTGTGTGTTCTAGTGTTCCTGAAAGTTTTGGAGTGAAACCTTTCTGTATGTTCTGTTCAATGTAATTGTTTTCTGCAAGAAACTGAAATGTCCTGTTGCGAAGACATGATGTGAAAACTTTGAGTGGGACAGATTCGAGAGTAATGGGTCGAAAGTTCGCTGGGTAATAATAATAATAATAATAATAATAATAATAATAATAATAATAGTATTAGTAATAGAAATAGTAATAGTAATAATGGAAACTTTATTAAATGTTTTTCTTTACATACATATACAATCGTAAATCTCTCTCATAAAGGTAACTTACGGTTGGCTATTTGAATCACAATTATACTAAACTATAATAATAATAATGATAATAATAATAATAATAATAATAATAATAATAATAATAATAATAATAATAATAATAATAATAATAATAATAATAATAATAATAATAATTTAATTGTTTAGAAGCTCGATAAAATTGTACAAAGTTAAGATTAAAATTTATTATATAAAAGAAATATATGTTTTGGTCTATACTGATAATATTAAAAAAATTGTCATTTTGTTCTAAGTTTGTTTTTTTAAAACCAAACAATCCTTTAAATAAAATATTTAACTATTAGTATATTCTGGCAATTTCTGTCTCAATATCTATGTCTGTATCTTTAACATCACATTGTTTCTTTCTCGTTATTCTCGATCCTCGAAGGCATAGGAGAGCAGATCTAATGATCGAAAATGATATCTTTGCTCTTATCCAAGCCGTTGTTTTTCAATACTTTTCTCACTTTTTTATGGCAATTAATTCTGCTATTCGACTGTGATATTTCTTGCATTCTTCACCCATACCACCAGTTGTATATCAGTAGCTCCTTGGTTATACATTCGTTTCTTCTCATTTTCATGCATACGATAAATCTGCTTTGGGGTAAACTCTTTATAAGATTCCGCATTTGGGTGGCATACCCGGACATCGAAGAATGCAGATCTTTGTCTTTCCCAAAAGCCATGTGCATGAAAATCCAATCTGGCATCTTGTGATTTGTTTGACCCTGAGTTTAGCACTTCACCATCTACTTCTTGCAGAGCTGGTTCAATTTGGACATCGTTACAGACAATATTCAACAGCTCAGCTTCCAAATCTCGTAATTCGTTATGGCGTTGAATGATAAAACCTCCTTTCTTACATATCATAGCATGGTCGATATTGAAAAGATCTCCACATGCACATCTTGTTGGATTATTCTTGAACGGCCAATCATATCTCAAATTCGATGCATCTTTAAACTCCCGCTTGTTAAATGAAGGTCCATCTCGGATACAGGGACGACTGTTAACCAGGAGGAGGCTCCTTTCTCTGAGGCAAGCTCTATCATTCGTTTCATCTTCGGTGGTGCCGAGTCAATGACGGACCTAGCCATTACATTTATAGTATCGTTCTTCTCTTTTTGTGCCATTTCCTTCCTCTCATGTACTCCTGAATCATCAGGAAGTTCGTGTATTTGCTCTTGAATTTGTTCCACCAATAGTGTTGTTACCTTTCTTGATACCGAATATTCCAATGTTGCTTCAATGCATGGATTTGGGACCACAATACCACCTTTTTTAACAGGTAAGGCTAGAATTTCCCGCTCTAGTGGGGAACATTTGTGATCAAACAAAGCTGGCTGGAGGAATTTTGTAATCGCTTCTTCTAATGGTTGCAACAGATCTTGAATATCAGGTAATGTTCGAAGGAAGTACGTCCATCGATGTTTCGGCCCAATAGTGTAAACTGCATAGCTTGCTTGAGGCTGTGTTGTTGCAAAATCAGCCAAATTGATTATCTCTTTCACCCATTCTTCCACCTTTTCTTTGACATATTCGTTTAGGTATGACCTTGAACCAACAACTGCTCCTAAATGCCTTTTTCCTTCTGTCGTGATATTTATCTCTGTTTCTTTAAATATTTCTCTTATAATCTCTTCTTTCTCCGGTTTTGTGATCAACCAACACTTGCCATCTTTGGGGTGGTAACCGTATTCAAGACCATCTTCTATCAATGTATCCCACCATTTCTTCAGCTGTATTGCGATCCCTGCTCCACTAGCGTCGTCAGCAAACCAGCATTGCTTTGTAGAAGACGTGATGTGTAAGCGTGTAATAAGTGGTTGCAGACTGATCGCGTATAGAGCCATAGACAATGGATCGCCTTGCGCTGTGCCTTCCGATGATTTCATTTCCTGACCACCAAGGACAAACAATCTCGTTGGCAGTCTATACGTGTTTATCGCATAGGTCGCAACCATCGGGCATAGGATCCTTATGTTGTTGAGAGAGCGGCTGCTCTATTTAGGGAATTTAAATGCATTGGACGCATCAATGAGTAGGATCGCTTCAGTGTCACCTTCGTCGAAAATGTTGCGCATGGCGTGAATTGCAGTTTCACTTCCGGAAGGTTGACCAGCACATAACTGAAGTGAACCACTTGCACTCATCACATCGGGTTTGACAACCTTCATTACGCTTTTGCTCGTTACTCTTCGTACCACTTCTCCAACTCCAATGGGTCGAACTCCACCTCCACCTTTATCTAAGGCGATAAGGCGACTTGCAACTAAAGCTTCTATTGACGATGGGTCAACATATTCCGTACAAAGGTTCCGTGCCAATTCTTTTAAACCATTTGCATCAACACCAGATGGCCCCCCTGATCCTTTTGTCCTCAGAGCTGCTTCTCGTATCATTTCTCCATTTATTGTGAGATATATACTCTCTGGTATGTCTTGAACTGGTCCGCGAAGTAGCACTCTCGATTTTGCTGGTTGAGCTTCTGGGTGTTTCTCTCGTAACTGTTGCATTACATCATCTGTTAGCGATAGGATCCCTCCCGAACTATCATAGTTCAGAAAGCGCATTGCTGAGTTTATCTGACCTTCGTTAACAAGTTTTGCAAATATTTTTACTTTGTTTTGTGGTTCAGATTTCCTTCCTTTTCCAATACGACTTTGAATCACTCTTCCTTCGTGCAACAGTTTATCGATTTCTCCACTTTTCCATGACGCCAAACGTTTCTTTAAGCATTCTTTGTGGTCTTTTGCTTTAGACTTTGGTCGCGGCTTTTGCAGCCGGACAGCAAGCAATACAAAAAAGGCTTTCAGCGCAATATGTTGGTTGTCTGATTTATTATTCCATTGATTAATATGCATTGTCAATTGGTCAGTAAATTCTCGTCCTAGTTTCCTATAAGGGAGCAAGAGCACATTCTTTTTCCATGATATAATTTCATCATACGCATTTATAATCGAAGACGTTTGAATTGATATCGGAGATCCATTGTCAGTCTTACCCATTCAATCAATACAGGTTTGCATAATCTACAATACTCTGGTAGGCATTGTTCTTCAGTATAGTCTCTTCGCTCATCAATTGCAACTTCTGATTCATTAGGCAAACACGTATATTGTGACACATTACTATATGTTTATCGTTAAAATCACCAACCGTTTCATGCAAATTTGTGAAAGTTGACAAATTTGCATTCTCGGCTGTCGTGTCTATAGCTACTGTACTTTTTGACTACTAACCCCAGCTGCTCATATCCTCGTGCCTGCCATAGGTCATGCATAACTTTGATATAGCCTTTTCGTCTCCCATTTTCGTTTACAGGGGGATTTTCCGAAGCAACCAATAATAATAATAATAATTTTTTTTAAACCTTTACAAATCAATTACATAGCCTGACCCATATAGTCATACATTTATGAGTCCAGACCAAATTTTACCTAACTACACTTAATAAATAAGACAACAGTTCTCTGGATAAAGCAGGTCCGTTATCTACACTGTCACACATTAGTAGCTAATAGAAGTTGAGCTTTTCAGGGCAAGACCAGTTCTTATTTCTCTTACAAAATATGTAGAAAGTAGCACGAAGTGCAACCTCCATACATTTTGTTATGATACGATCGTCTTGCAAATGTAACAACCTACATAGCCTACGAAATTGGCCTATACTCTTCGTGACGAAGCCTAGAGTAGTGACTTCCAAAGTTATAACTTTAAATCTATCACACGGTACGAGTAACTGTGATCGCAATACCCGATATTTTTCTTGTTTACGTCGTCTTGCAATCATGCAGTTCGTTTCATATGGGACAGTCAATTCAATCACATACAAGTCTCTTTTATAACGAATCGTAATATCTGGCCTTAACGCTTGAAACAGATTGGACGTACATTTCAAGCCAGAGTCTGGACAATCGGCAAAAATCTCCAGGTCTTCCGACATCACTCTCCTTAAGTGATGAAGAATGGTGTTTAATATAGAATCATGCCTCCACGTATATCGATGTTGTTGTAACGCTACAGGGCAATATGAAAGAACATGAAGCTGTGTTTGAATTTTGCTGCAAAGGTCACAATTTGGAGAATCTCGAATGTTCCACCGCTTGAGGTTAGAATTGTTGCTCAAGTTAAGCACTAGAGCCCGTCTTGCAAAACAAGTTATATTACGGGGTAGTCTGCAAACCATTTCTTGCCAAAAGTGCAGTATTTTCTTGTTGCACGCTTCAGTTAGATAGTTTATAATAATACTTTGTTCCTTTAGCGTAATAAAATTTGCCCAAATATCATTTGTACTTTGCTGTTTCAATAACTTATTTGTTCCGGTTTTCAGTTCGTATCCATTTGTTACATTTGATGATACTTTCTCAATTATTTCATCCGTATTAATATTTTTGGAAGATGTTACAGAATACAGATGTTGAATATCACTGTTTCTAGATGTTTTCAATATGCGCCTAACCGAAAGTTTGCATTGTAAATATATATCTGAAGCAGAGCAAAAGTCAATCCCTAGATATGATTTTGGCAGTTTTAGATGAGTGATATTGCCACTAATCGAGATCTGTAACCATTTTCGAATATACTTGGAAATAGCTGGCTCAATATTTTGCTTTATCCAGGTCTCAGTAAAGGGGTATATAGAAAATCGCCAACGGAGCTTTGAGTAAACATAATTCTGAATGATCCTGATTTTCGAAAAAGGATTCATGGGGAAAAGGTCTATTTTCTGCAGATATTCGTCGATTTCACTTAGTATCTCTACTTTGATCTGTTCGCATTCCATATTAAAGTTAAATTGCTTTCCGAGATAGTTAAACCCCTGTTCGCATTCAATCGGCGGTACACGCTTGCCCGAGATAATAATAACTGGTTGGTATTGAATTGCTTTTGAGGATTGCTTCTTGATTCCAAAAGTATGACATTTCTCAACACGAATATGCAAATCCGCCCACGTTGACCATTTATTAAATACATTACAAAGCAATTGATTGTCCTCTTCATGTGCACTTAATATTGCTGTGTCATCCGCAAATTGGAACCAGTGCCTAGGGTACATCGTTGCGTTATTTACATAGCCAAGACATTTTAATTTCGCGTCGTTTATTGTGTGAATCAAAGAATTTACACAAAGATTAAATAACAAGGGTGATAAACAATCACCTTGTAACACGCCTCGTTGCACTGGAATTGGTTTCGTAATGAACCCTTTCGTAATAATTGAGATACTGAAATCAGAGTAGAATTTCTCAACAAAGCATATAATTTCTTCAGGAATGTGATGAGCTATCAAGATAGTTCGTATAAGTTTATGATGTACCTCACCAAAGGCATTTTTCAGATCAATTAAAGTAACTACAAGAGATCTTTGCTTATTTATGGCATGGTTAATAATATGTGATAATAACTCCGTATGTTCAATAGTCCCCGAAATTCCTGGCCAACAACCTTTCTGGATTCCCGACTCAATAAATTCGTTTTCGCAAACAAACTTAAAGATTCTATTCCTTAGCAATGATGTGATGACTTTTAGCAAAACAGGCTCTAGACAGATAGGACGGAAATTAGCAGGATCCTCAGTTGAATCTTTTTTATGGATCAATATCGCCGCCGCGTGCTTCCAGACAGATGGAATATTTTTTTCGTTCCAGCATTTACGTATAATTCTCCATAAATGCGTTCTTAAAATTGGACAACGTTGAAACGAAATAATGCTTATTTGGTCAAAAGGACATGCAGAGCCACGACTTTTCATTTTTCTGATTATTTTGGAGATCTCACGATACGTAGGACATTCTAAGTCGAATCTTTACTTGCGGATGGAAATGAACTCAACCAGGACGGCCAATTAAACAAACGACTTTTACTTTTCTCCTTAAATAAGTTCTTAAAATAATCGAAACACGACTGTTCGCTCAAGTTTGGTTCAAGCTCTTCAGTGTTTTCAAATTCATTTTCACAAAACTTCCAAAAGTTCTCATTTAATTCATTTTCATAATCCCGCTGGTCATTAACGCTTGACCGCATTCTTTTTCGCAATAACTTACTGACAAATTTTATTTCCTCCAAGCTGCCTCCGTGCGATTTTAAATCTTTTAAGCATTTTTTAACTTTGATTTTGACATACTTCTATAGTGTTCAAATTTATTAGCCGACTTTACCAAACCACATGTATCTTTAAAGTAAGACCAGATAACGTTATTCATGAATACAATTTCCGAATCCAAGTCTCCCAGCTTTGGTCTAACACTGAATTGTGACTGAAAAAACTCGTTAGCTGCTTTCCAACTAAGATCCGATCGAGGAAGTTTTACTCCTGATAGCACTTTAAACTTATCGGTCGGAAACAGAACTTCGGTCATGCTTTCATTACTATTTGCAATAGTAATGCTATCATCTTGTTGAGCAAACAGTTCAGCAAAGCACGGGTTATTCTGTACAAAGCATGATCGGCGATGTAAATTTAGTGAACGATAACTATTAAATGTACGCCCACAATAACACATAAAACTTTCTCCTGCGACATTAGTCGACCCTACCGTACATGTATTATTATCCGCAGATGTTGAAGAAGACGCTCTCTCCGTGTTAGGTGAGTTTCCGACACCAGTTCGTGATTTGCAACGCCATTGATGTCTGCCCAGCGATTTGAAATCCTTTCCACAATACTCACATATCGTTGCATTGCAGGTCAAAATTTGCCCAAAAATAACGATCAATACCACACAAAGCACCATAATGATCCCTTTCATACTCAAGGTGAAGTTCCAAAAGCTCAAAACTAATGTTAGTGCAGTTAAACTACATGAACTATTCAAAAAGTACAGGAGCGCCGTGAGCGTGAACTGCCCACCTTGCTGGTCACTGTATATAATAATAATAATAATAATAATTTTAATAATATTAATAATAATAATAATAATAATAATAATATTAATAATAATAATAATAATAATAATATTAATAATAATAATAATAATAATAATAATAATAATAATAATAATAATAATAATAATAATAATAATAATAATAATAATAATAATAATAATAATAATAATAATAATAATAATAATAGTAATATTTGTTTATATTTTTAACCCGCATAGCATTGGGCCATTCCGGCGCGCCTGCTCTTTGGGTTACTATTAAAAATAGAAGGAAGGCTCATATCGCCCAAAATAGGTCAGACTTGCATACGGCGCCTGAAACTTTCTTCAATTTTTGACTTTAAATGCATTTCTTTCGAATTTAATCGATATCCCTGGCGAGAATGATGACATACAACTCTCAAAACAACGATGCTTTAATCGAAGAGCTTAATTAAATTTGCATGTCTGTCTAAGCAACTTCTCACATGGTCGATTAGGTTGTCTATATTGTGTCTTGCAGGTCTTCAATCGTATGCGATTTTCTCTTTCTAAAATATAATATATCGTATGCGATTTTCTCGGCAAAAAGTTTCTACCACACATTATTACCCTCTCAAAACACTAAGGTATTCATGACGTATTTAATTAATGAAATAAGGTACTTGATGTAATTAAGAACATAAGTAGGTCATACGCAATGCACATAAACGAAATACATGGCAAGGACATGTATAAAAACGAAATATAAAACTGAATATAGGCCTAATTTCAGACAATCCTGGACAAAACCAT